AGTAGGTACCTCACGCGTGGAGGCAGGATTCGTGCTCCACTACGTACTATCTTCTGACACGTGACAGTATGTGTTCTGGTAGATGTTTCGGATGAACGTATTGCCTCCATCTTCAGTACGCGCACCAGCGAAGCCGCCGCCTCAAAAACTGATGGAAAACATTTCTCATCATTTTCTATGTAAACTTTCTTGGCGTTAACTTCGGCCGCTTTGTCCCTTTCCGATCCTGCCTTATCGAATGATACATCGAGGACGTTGTGTAATGCAATCTCCCACGAATAATACCTATAAATAATCAATTGTAAGATTTGAGGTTTTCACTGCAGTGACTATGAACAATTCCGTCTTCTGGGTTGTGGTGCCGGGTAGATTATGTGTGGACCGACGTTTCAGAGGAACGTATCGCCTACTTTCCTGAAGATGGAGGCAATAGTTTCCTCCGAAACGTCGGTCCACACAAGATCTACACAGTTGCACATCCCAGGAGACCACATTCTTCTCAATAAATTGTAAACCGCCTAACTTCTACTGTATACAACACATCAAATGTGGGCGTTAGAACACGGGCCTTCTGCCTACACTCAGAGTGGGCGCGATGCACAGGAACAAAAGACTGCTCGCTCGTTCGTTGCATACATAAATTTACGATCATGGAACGTGTTGATGCTGGATGTGTTAAGGAGACGGTGGCAGGAAATTTCGTAATGAAGTGGATGGATTTCCTGCTCATACGGAGACACGGAACTGAATCCGTGAAGCGCAGTTCACACTCGCAAGGGCGGCGCCCCGTGCCTGCTCTATATTCCTTTTGTTGGACCTTGGCCGCTTTTTTCAGTTTTACAAAGCCGGTAGGACTCCTTGGACGGGGGATCAGCCTGCCGCAAGGTTGGTACCTACACACAGAACAACACAAAGACAGAACAAACACACACAGACATCCACGCCTTGAGCGGGAATCGAACCCACGATCCCAGGGTTCGAGCGAGCGAAGACAACGCGGCCGGCCACTGAGACCGGCAGAATTATCTTGTTCACTTGCTTTAATTTGAAGGCGCGTTGCCGTGCTGTTTTGTTTGACCTTTGCAAGCTGCTCATGACAGAAGTCTGTCGAACATTCTGCTCTGACGTCATCATGCGTTGCCATGGCCATGCTGGCATTTCATTTCCCGATTGTTGAACTCCGCTGCTGCTAACGTAATTTGCATATGACGTCATTATCTGTCCGAGGTTTGTCCCCAAAACTGCTAAACAGATTCCATTTATGCGTATTTCAGTATCTACTCAAGTGCTTCAGCTAACAATACTGAGACAAACTAAATCGCCTCTACAATTCCTCCTTCTTAACGCGGACTTAATAGGGAACATGCACATAAATTATAAAAGTAACCCCTCACTGTTACCAATATGAGCAGGTGTTGAGGTAGGGGTTCCGGGTGCGATTCCTATCCTAATTCACAATCTTGCTTATTAATTACACGAGTGAACCATTCTCTTTCGAGCAGAGTGTCCTTCCTCCATTAAGGGTGGCCCGCTGCATGCTGTGATGCTTATCGGGGGGGGGG